CTGTGGTGCTAAACAGGGTGGCTGATGAACCTGACTTAGTGGGATTGTTTAAGGTAATATCAAAACAAACCATATCATTTCATCTGCAGTGGCCTTCACTGGGGCTGGCGGAAGATGTGAAATATTTATTTCTGTAACCAGTTCTCTCCCATCCCAGTCCCCTACTCTGTCTGGGGACTGGGCCCTGAATATCAAGCCCAACACAGTTCATTTTCTCAAATGCCACTAGTTAGGGAAAAAAGCCAGAGCAAGGCAAAGTAATTTCCTTCCTCAGCTCCTGTCGCAGATGATTGGATTGCCCGATTGTATAGAGGGAGAAACGGGCCTTGTTTCTGGGATAATGGAATTTAGTGAGAGCCTCCGATTTATTCCTAAAAACATGGCGACGCCGTGTTCACGCTCCTGAAACATGAAATCAGTAGGAGAGCAACTGGGTAAAGAAAGGGAAATTAAAAACAAAATCACCAATCATCTGATTATACGACAACACGTGAATGCGCATATGCTTGATTGTGCACTGTGAGTGTAGAGAGGAGGACCATTTAAAAAATAAAAAGGCGCTGGCTTCAGCAGGATTTCTGTAAAAAAAGGGGGGGGCCTCTGGCAGCTGGAAAGGAGAATGAGCATGGATGCTCCCCACACTTGTGCAAGGTCTGGAGTCTACAATGCTCCCTCACACGTGTGGTCTTTACACTCCATGTTCTGGGTTTACATCTGGCTCCCCAGCCACCCCTTACATGTAGCGCTCACAATACCAAACTGCATGCTGTCTCCACCTCCTCTGCTTCTGCTGCGTGCACCTGCAGCCTGGCACCCACCCACACCCACATCTGCTATGCTGACCCCTGCCCTGGGCCTGGGGTAGCTGCCTCTATGTCCTCTTTCTATCTTTAAGACTTCACTCAGTGCTGCTGGTGCACCTCCTCTGAAAGCCTTTCAGGGGCACCTCGCCTTGACTGGCAGCCCCTCCCTTCATCCTTCTCCATGTCCCAAGCATCTACCTGGGTGCCGTCACTAGGTTCTGATGACTGGCCTACCTCCTTTCTAAATTCAAGAGCCCCTGGAGAGTAGAGCAGAGACACCACCCCTCCTCCCCCCTCAGGTGGACACTGGACCACACATGATGCTTCTTTCAGAGTCAGCACCCAAGAGGTGTTTTGCGCATGCATCATTTAAGGATGGCCTCTACAATACAAAAGAAAGGACTGAGGTAACAGGGAGTGGGGAGTGTGTTCTTGGTCTTTGATAAATGAGGGACAGTACTGAGGCTCAGGTCCCAGTTGGGCCATTCCTGGCTTTCTAGTTGTAAGGGAACAGCAGTCCAGCAGAGACAGGTGTGCTTGAGGTTGGGCCCTCAGGGCTGGGGCTTCCTGTCTTTGAAGTAAAGCTGTCTTAGGACTAAGCTGCCACTGCCCAATAGTCTCCCCATTGGGACAAGTATAGGAGACTTGGAGATCCAACTCTGCACTGTTCATGACCTTGAGGACTGGACAGTGAAAGTGCTGGCCAGGGTCAGGATAAGCTCCAAACTGAAAAGTGAAGTCACACCAACTACAGAAACGATTGTGTGGCTATGCTGTCTTATTTCCCAGACACCTATCTTTCACTCAGAATACAGGACTGAAAGCCCAGAAAAAAAGAGAAAAACAGTAGTTCAGAGGGAATGGGATAGCAAGAGCCGCCTGTGGTGGCCAAAGGAAACAGGAAAAACACAAATGGAGTAAGGACTTGACTGGCAGCTGCCTCAGCGATCCCCACTCTCACAAGGCCTTCTGGGACAAGGCCAAGCCCATTCCTAGTCCCTTGCAGCATCTAACCGAGTGTGAGCCCTTGAGCACACCGGGACCCCAGAAAAGTAGAAGTCCGGAGGAGCAGCTGTCTCTCCCTTGGACACGGCCATGACCTGGGTGGGTAAGGGTAACAGGTGGGGAGATGAGCAGTTTCCAGAAGAAGCAGCCGCCAAGGTGAGGCAGCCAAGGCTGGAGCTGGGGAAGTGGGTGGAGCCTAGTTTGTGCATCTGCAGAAGGCTCTTCTTCTTGCTGGAAGAAGAGGTTGGAACAGAGTGACGGAGTTGAGAACAGCATGGAACACAGGACGATGCGTAACCTGCACCGTTCACTGACCTAAGCCTTGCAACCCAGGCAGGCGCTGGGGCTCCCTCATCTCACGAATGGGAAGACTCAGTCACTCACTGAAGTCCAGAGGCTGACCACCACCCCAGGATTGGGGTGAGCCCAACCCACATCTAAATTCTGGATCCGTGGTTCCACCTTGTCCTCCATAATCAGAATTCTCCCATAGCCTGTTTCCCACCCACAGCTGTGGAAGCAATTACTCTGAAAACTGGGAGCTCAGGACCATAGATAGAGTCCAAGAGGCAGGAGTCTGAGGTGGTGGTGTTGGGCCATTCCAGGTCATGTCCTCATGAAGCTACAGTCACTTGCAGGCCCAGGTGTCAATCAACTGAAAGCTGGCTTGGACAGCTCTGCTCCTGTGAGGGCAGCTGCCATTCTTCCTAATTCCGGCACTCCGTAGCACTGTTCTTTTCTGGCAGCCCACTGCCCCTGAACAAAGGATTTGAGACAGACAGAAAACACCTTGTTCAGAGAAGTGACAAGCCACCACTTGTGGTGGATGCCATTGGTCACAAAGACAAGCCTGAGGTTGGGGACTCATTAGAAGTGAAGATGCCGGGAATCGGGAGCCCAAGGTCAAAATTAGAGGCCACATACCTTACACACAAACACACACACACACACACACACACACACACACACACACACACACACACACACACGCACGCACGCACAGCATCCCACAGGACACAGCCACCTTCAGGTCAATGACAGACTACTGTACAAAGGTGGTTCTTTGGATGAGCCCAGGGCTGAAAGACTCCCGTGGTCCAGTAATGCCGCAGCTGCTCTAACGCCGTGTAACAGAATGCTAGAGTGTGGCCATGCTGATACAAAGAAAGCTGCCCCGCCAGCCAGCTCTATGAACACAGGCCCACACAATCCCATCTAGAAGCCAGCTGCCTTAGGGGTCTCGTGTCTTTTCTTATGCATCACCCTGGTGTCACCTCTCCTCGTACATGGCTCTCCATCTCCCATGTGTGCAGTCTCCTCCAAGTTGCAGCAAGAGGAGGAACAAGTCTTATGAGACACCTCCTCTTTCACCTTTGACACAGTCACCGAGACCCCTACTTACTGCGCTTCTGAGTAAGGACTTCCTGGTCCTCTGGAATCCCAGTGGACCTGGGCAGATTTTTCTGAAAACCTTGGTCTTCCTTCTTGGGGATTTAAAAAATATTAAAATGTTTTTATTTTTATGTTAATGAGTATGTGTGTTTTGCCTGCACGTATGAATGAGCACCATGTGGGTGAAGTACCTATGAAGGCCAGAAGAGGGCATCAGATCTTCTGGAACTGGAGTTATTACTGATGGTTATCGTGTTGGTGCTGGGAATTGAACCCAGATCCTCTGGAAGAGCAGCCAGTGCTCTTAGCTGCTAAGCCTGTCTCTCTAGCCACCACCACCACCACCACACCTGATGGGGATTTTATCACTAGACAGAAATCCAAAGAGCTGCTGGGCCCAGATGTCTCCAGGTGGTACTTTATTACTATAGTTTTCTGGAAAGACAGGACCACCTTCTCCTGAGCATCACCCACATGCTTAAAAAATAGCTGCATTTGGTTTGGGAGCCACTGTGCCCCAAGTAGGTGAGCAGTTTGCAACGAGAACTTCATTAGAGGGACTCTATCTGTGTCCAGATGACTCCAGAGCCTGTACAGGAACTCGTACCTTCCACCTGTTCACACAGCGATCTTCCTAGGGCCCGTCTCTGGCCATACTGTTTAAAACTCTTATGGGCAAGCGAGATGACTCAATGTGTGAAAGAACTTGTTACACAAGCGTTATGACCTGTGTTTTGTCCCCAGAACTGACAGTAGGAGAGAACTTACTCTCAAAAGGTGTCTTGCTACATCCACACAGACGCCATAGCACCTGCCTGCCCACCCACATGTGCATAGGTATGTGCACAAACAATGATAACTCCCTGCTTAATCCTTCCTGTTTTGGGGTCAAACTGAGACCGCCTGGCTCACAAGCTTGGCGATCTGGTCTGTCTGCCCCTCCTCTCCTGGTCTGCCTCCCCCAGCTCTTTCATTTTGTACTGCCGCCAGATTCAAGCATTCATTGCCAGTGAAATGATCGATGCTGTCTTTCACCTCGTCTCTGCCTTGAATGCCCTTCCTTTCCTAAATAACATCTATTCCTGCTTCGGAATTAATCTTCACACTCCCATCCGTCAGCTAGGAAGCCTTTCATTAAGCACTCCAGATTTGAATTATCTTCTCCTTCTCTTGCTCCCACAGCAGCGAAGGCGGTGGCGCTGTACCTGGAATACTGGTGGCTTCCTGGATATTCTAGGCAGCAGCCCCCTCCCCCCACTTCCACGGAGCTCCTTCACTTGTGTTTGGGAAGGTGGCTCATCAAGCCACCTATGTGGGAGGTCGCCATTAGAAGGAGCAAAGACACCCCCTCCCACTTCTCAGGGAAGCACAGGGTGCCCCTCTTGTCTCTCACCACCAAAGTCTTTATGCTGAGTTCAGTGTCCTGCCATTCTTGCTGACATACACAATGATCTAGTCACTGTAACCATGGGTGATAACCAGGGATGTCCAGCACAGGACTCTTGGCTGATGTTCTTTGCTACTCACTACATCAGCGTCTTGACGGTATACCAGACAGGATGGGGAATGGTGGGGACTAGCAAGGACTTTAAACATGTGACCTCAAATCCCAGCACAAATCTCAGGCTCAAGTGTGGCTCTCACACACACCTGTCTCTCCTGGAACTGCAGCTCCCTTCGAGTTGAGCAGAGGCAGCACTCTGTATGAATTGCTGCAAAGATAACATCAGAGAACATGGGGGAGCCCCCAGGGCTGTTGGGGGGGGGGGCTATAGGATGAGATTCAGGAAAGCAGCAAACCTGAAAGCACTGGATCCTGAAGGCAGTTGTAGCGTGGAGCCCGAAGCAGCCTCTTCACCATGCTCCCTTGCTGGGATCTGCAACCCTGTTCCCAGGCATTAAACACTCAGTTGCCGGGCAGGGAGGGAGGCAGGCGGGGGTGGAAGAGAGGGAACAGCCAACAACTCCTGGGGACAACTGCGTTCTCCAAGCTTTTTCTGCCAGGATCTGAGGAAGCCTGTTTACACGGGTCCCCCCTGTGGTCTCTGCTGCTTAATATGCCTTTTGAAAATGATGCTCGGTGGGATGTGTGCACATTTGTAATTACAAAGACCCGGCTGGTTTTTGACAATCTGTGCCTGCTAATTTCTCAGTGGCAAGGAGGGGAAGCAGTAAACGTCCCCAGCCCTGCTTGTGGAATGGGCTCCTGGGCTGTACGGTGCGGTGCTTTCTCCAGAGGACGTTCATCCCAGACCTGCCCTGCTTTGCTCAGGGGAGATCTGAGCTCCACTGGGGACGAATGACCTGTCGGAGGTGGCACGGGGCACGAGAAGGTCGTGTAAGGCTTCCTGTTTACACTGTTCTTGTGGAAGTGCCCGAGTCCCTCTGTATCAACCCTGGCTGGGTGGACGAAGCAAGACGTTCCCGGAACTGAGGCTGTTTCCCTTAAGTGGTGGGCGTCCTGCCACAAGAAGTAGCTCATCATTGGGAGGGGAGGCGAGGGTGAAACCCACAGGCAGAGACAACCTTCCCAGTAACTGAGACAGACCTGGGCTCGCGGGAGAGGAATGGAGCCTCTGGTGGAAGGAGGAGGGCCCACTGAGCCCAGAGCCAACTCTTTGAAATTGAGCTGTGGTTGAAGCCAGTTCAACACATTCAGCGTCCTATCGATGTCTGGGTGGGAAACCCACCTGAAAGCTGCTGAAATACAGGGTCCAGCATTGCTTTTGCAGAACAGTGGCTCTTTGAATTAAGGTGTTCGAGAATTAAGTTTCTCCAGTGTTCCCAGGGCTCAGACTTAAAGTTGAGGCGGGCCCGGGAGCGGGGGAGGGAGGGGGCAGAACTTGATGGAGCTGCTGATAGGTCTCTGCTGGCTAAAAGTGATGACATTGGCAAGAAACTGATCTTTCTGGGGAGCAGAAACTCAAGAGCCCTCAAGTGCAGAACACAAGGCCAGCTGTGTGACCTGCCACACAGGCCTGGCTTTGATACCTAAGGAGGTGGTGGCAGAGACCACCTGGTATCGGGTATCACTCTCAGACCGGACCCTGAAGGAGCAGAGCCCTAGAAGGAGGCTTCTGATCTTGTCTCCTTCTTTGCATAGAATGAGAACACACCCGGGCCAGAAGCAGAAAGTGTGTAATCAGTTTCCTTCCTCTGTGTCCCAGACAGGCAAATTGAGATCCAGATCTGTGGCCTCGGGGGACTTGTCCTCAGGCAATGGTGCACAGATATGGGACTCGGAACCAGTGCTCCAGGTCTCCCATGCACTGCTAGCTGCGACTAGAAAAGAAAAGAAAAGTCAAAGCCTGAAGGCCTTTGTCACCAAGAGGCAGGCCAGAGCCATAGCACACCTCCGTCTGGTCCCCGTGGCACTCATTTTGTGAGCCTGCTGTGAGCTGTTCCCCACTGTAAGCCGATGCCCACCCCACGGTGTCTGGCCAAGGCAGAGCTCAGCTGTGGCTTGTGCCTGTTTCAATGCTAAGTCAGTCTGTGTAAAGCAGACCCTGCTGGGCTTGGCTCCCTCCACAGGCAGGCCTTGTGCTCCCAGGCTAGTCCATGCCTGCCAGACTAGGAAAGACAGAGGCCATTTAATGGAAGCATTCCCTTTACCCAGAGAAGGCTAGGGATTGCAGCAGACCTGGGCTCCTGCATCTCAGGTCAGTCCAGGTAGGACAGGGCCAGTGGAGGAAGGAAAGAGGTGTCGGAAGCAGCATCCCACTGTTTGAGTCCATTCAGATGCTAGAATAAACCCCTTCCACGGGAAGGCTGATAAACACCAGAAATGTGGTTTTTCACGGAACAGAAGCTGGAAGTCTGAGGTCAGAACATCAATACGACCAGCTTCTGGTGAAGGCTGTCTTCTGTATGCAGACTGCTGAGTTACGTGTGCTCACCAAGAGAAAGAAGGTGGAGGGGGGGGGAGTGAGGGCCAGGAAGACAGCTCAGCAGGTAAAGACAGCTCAGGAGATCCCTGTTGGATGCCCAGAACCCACGTAACAAAAACTGAGTGATGGTGCATTCTTACAATTGAATAGCCAAAGAAGCAAAGAGAGGTGGGTCGCCAGGGCTCACTGAGTATCCAGCCTACCCTATTAGCAAGTTCTAGTCCAGTGAGAGAACCTGTCTCAACATAAAGGTGGATGGCGCCTGAGGAATGACATCTGTGGCTATCCTCTGGCCTCTACATGTATGTGCACATGTCCTGCACACACATGCACATGCATACAAGAGTGTGAGACCTCTGGAGGGTCCTTTCACTGGAGGACTTCAGAACTCAGAGTAAAATGGTAATTGGGTTGGAATTGAGTGCCGGTTCCAAGAAGCCACCACAGAGGAGGCAACGAGGGAGACAGCTCTTCAGTCTCTCAGTCAGACGCCCACGCAGCCTTGCTGAAGATGCGCTCTCCTCACTCCTGTTAGGATGCTCACTGCTGGGGAATGGAATCATCGAGCCAATGAAATATGAAAAACCTCCATTTTCTTCTATGTGCTTTTTGGCCATTTGGAGTGAGTGGTCCCACATGCTGCCATTTTGTGCATATATTATTCCCAATTCCAAAAGCACAGGTGTACTTTTGAACTCTGGGGTTCCAAAGCATCCTAACGTCATAGACACATGGGGGGGGGTTGCCAGAATGGCCATATAATTAAATCTCCCTGTTTGATTGTGAGAGTTTTTTAGCCCCAGGGGAGAAGAGAAACAGTTGTACAAGAGGCTGTATTCATTGAGTTCTCCACTCCAGAAATTTCAAATGAAGGGCTAAGAGAGAAGTTTCTGGTTATAATAGGCATCAGAGCCTGAAGGTCACACAACCTTGTAGGGACTTGAGTGACAGCTGTTTTAGGTTGTTGGCTAGGATGGATAAATAATGTAGTTTAAATCTTAAATATCCCTCCAAGGCACGTGCATTTAAGTCTTGGTCTTTGGTGCGGCACAATTGGGAGATGGTAGAACCTTCTAGTGAGACGTCATTGAATCGCTGGAGGTTTTCCCATGAAGAAGATGGTTGGACTCTGGTCTCTTCTTCCTCTCATTTTTGCTTCCCAGTGTGAGGTGAGCCCTGCTCTGCCACCACTTCCCTCACAGGATGCTGCCTCACCACAGGCCCCAAAGCCCTGCAGCCCAACACAGGCTGGAGCCTCTGAAACCCTGCGCCAAAATGTGCCTTTGCTCTCCAGCAGTTAATTGTCTCCATGCTTTGTTAGTGAGATAGGAAGCTGAGCAGCTAGCTCACTGGCAGCTGAGTTAGTTTGCAGAGGATGAGAAATGGATGGCTTCCCAACAAAGCCTTGGCGTATTGACATACGAGAGATCCAACCAGAACAGGGTGTTCAGGTACCCATGGGAGCTGGAGGATGGCCTCTGTGGACCTTTTGGCTCAACTCACCCTCATTGTGCCGAGCATAGTGCTTCAAGGACAGCTGGAGCCAGTGGACTGTACACTAAGGCATCCACTGCCAGTGGATATTGAAGGTGGCCTCTGAGGAAGGGACTGGCACTCCTTTATGCTTGCAAGATAGTAATCAACCCTGGCATCCCCTGGGGTTTATGAGATAGGAAGAGTCTTCATTCCACACGGACCTGCGAATCAGAATCCGTATTTTCTAAGATCCCTGGTGATCGTGAATCAAATATGAAGTTTAAGACTCTCACATTGGACATAGTGCATTTGGGATAATGGAGAAAAGTCTGCTACAGAATCATGAGGATCTGGCAAGCAATCCCTCTCCTGGACAAACTCTCCCTGCATGCATGGCCTTGGAGAAAGCATGGCGTGCTCAGAATGTCTCTCTCACTTGAAAATAAGAGGGCTGGATCGGCAGCTCTTTATTCTCAACCTCGCAGGCATCTCTCCTATGAGATGGGAGGGGGGGGCCCTCGGCTAAAGATCAGAGAGATTCTTGCTGTGTAAAACACTCCCTAATCAGCCTTATGTCAGGTCCCCGCCCCCCGACTAACCACAGTGACAAGTCCCAGGAGTGTACCTTGTCAGGCTGTGGATAAAGTTCAGGCAGCTTGGATAATTACCCTGACACCGCCTAGAGTTAGCTTCCCAGCAGCTCAGGAACAGGCCCTTATGATTATAGGAACACACCACACACACACACACACACACACACACACACACACCCCACACACACACCATGGCTTTGGCCAGTTTCAGGCAGTACCACCCCCGTTGCAGCCTCCAGTGTGGGGTCGGAGACTTACACTCAGCCAGGATCCGGTTTCCTGGGGCCCCACTCCAACATGACTGTCGGGTCATTTTCCAAATGCATGGTGACTGAAGCCTTGTATCCTCTCTGCCCACTCTGTACTGTTTTCATCTGGTTCTTCTTGGGCCTGCCATCTAGGGTCCTCCACAGTCAAGACAAGGCAACCAAGACAAGCTTTCCAGGGTGTACCCTCCAAACTCTCCAGCTACCCTGCCTCTGATGACTGCCTCACCTTTTGGGGCCCCAGGTTGCTCAGCTCACCATGGAGCCATTCACCCCTAGCTCCTCTTGCTCACTTCTGCTCTTGAACATGGCCCCTGTTCATTCTCCACATCTGTATCCCCCACACACACCCCTCACCTCTTTCTCTCTGTCATAGTTTGGCATATGTGTTTGCATGCCTGTGCATGTGCTTATGAAGCCAGACATCAACATTGCGTAGCTTTTTCTATCTTATTTTTTGAGACAGGGCCTCCAACTGATTCTGGAGGTCATTGTTTCACTAGACCAACTGCCAAAGGAGTCCCCAGGAGCCTCCTGTCTCCACCTGCCAGCACGGGGCTTAGAGGCGTGTGCTACCGTGCCTGGCCTTTAAAAGGAGATTGATTTTTGTCTGAGTGTTTTTTGCCTGCCTGCGCGCATGTGCGTGTGCGTGTGCGTGTGTGTGTGCGTGTGCGTGTGTGTGTGTGTGTGTA